TTTCATTGTAGTTAGAGGAGAACATCTTACTTAAATCACCAGCTAGGCAACGTTTGCTTTAGGGTGAGCTGAACAGTCTTCTCAGCTGGGTACTGTAATTAGACTATGGATATCCGGTTTAGGTGTAGGCACCTGAATTTCAGACCTAATGGGAGCTGAATGAGCCTTTACTTTTGCAAAATATTGTGTAAAACTATTGAATGGCAAGTTGTGTATCATTTGAAAAGGTATTTGAGAGCGTCTATCAAACTTTTCTTAAATAATCCCATCTTGTCAATTTGATGGGTTTTCCTCTCCTTTAACAAATTCAAATTTCCCTTAAAAACAGTCCAAAAACTACTACCAAAGCCCCCCAAAATATACCAAAAAAACCCCAATATTTTTTAAATCTGATGATAAAAAGTTTGATTCCTTTTCATTGGAAGTCTTTGGTCTCTGCTGTCCTTGCAATACTTGTTGACCCATTTCAGCTGCTTCTGTTACAGTTTCACAAAGGTGCTGCTGAAGCCTGGCTCAAGCATTGCTAAATAAAATAGTTGTTAGAGAACCTGAGGTGAGAAAAGCCAAGGCATCCAGCACACCTCCCACTACTTCTATTCCTGTACTCACTCCTAGAACACTTGTAAAGTAGACAGAATTTTTAAATGCCTGATGAGAATGCCTGGTAAAGCAACTGAGATGATTAACATATTTTATGGATGACTGATTTTCGTATAAAGGAGAACACTTAAAGAATGTTCTGTAAGTAAATGTTTTGCATGATGCTCTGAAAACAGAAGAGATTGGTTCTCACATGACTCATGAAAAGAATACATAACTATAAACTCTTAAGAGGTAATAAAAATATACATAGAGTGTAGAACAAATTTAATCTTTTTTTTTCAAAGCTGTAAGTACTGCTTGTAGTGTAAACCAATGTCTCTGCTGTGTTTGCACAGCAGTGAGGATTTTAGGTTAACATATGTGTTTTGTGATGTTGTAATTCTTTGCCTATGTTCCTGAGCCCTCCTCCAGCAGAGCTGCCAACAGTTTGCCTCACAGATCAGTTAGAAGAGCATCAGGGACACCTAATACCCATGGTAAACTCAGAGCTCTGAGAACAGAAAAAAAAATGCTTTAATGTTTTAAAGAAGAAAAAATAAACTCTACATAAATTCATCCTTACAGTGAAATATTGCTTAGTTCCAGTGGCTCAGCTGCTTTTGAAGCTAAAAAATGGACCATGCCTTAGATGAAGGCAATTTCCATTCCAAATCCTAGCTTTGCCAGTTCATGTAAAATGGCAAATCAGTCTAAAGGGATATTGCATACAAAAAGTATTTGAATGAAACGCTGTTAATCTGTTTTTGTTCTGTACAGATCTCAAAACAATGAGTGAACGACTCAAGAACAGGTACTACGTGTCTAAGAAATTATTCATGGCAGACTTGCAGCGAGTCTTTACAAACTGCAGAGAGTACAACCCCCCTGAGAGTGAATACTACAAATGTGCCAATATACTGGAGAAATTCTTCTACACAAAAATTAAAGAAGCTGGATTAATTGACAAATGACACTGTCTTTTTTACAACCAAATAGTGTGCCTACGTTATGGGCAGGGGAAGCCGTTCTATATATGAGTTGTGGGACTTTCAAGAACCTTCTGTTTAATACTTAGCACTTTTAAAAACCCTTTTAGTTTTGAAAACATGTATTATACTGAAGTTACAGAAATTATTTTATTAAAATGCTTTATAATGTATTTAATTACGGAAAATTTCTTTTGTGTGCCGATTACCGTATGTTCCTAATATGTTTATCAGCTACAGCCTCAGAAACCCCACAAACATGGGGGAAGTTGCACATGTTTGGGAAGATGAAGAAAATTCCCAGACAACAGATGTTATAGCTTACCTAATGCAGTACCTATTTGATATAGTTTTATTATTTTTTTCCAATAAAAAAGAAAATTGTAAGGGAAAACAACAGTTGGGGGGGGTTCTGAAACACTTGTTTCTTTGTAGAATCTTTTTATAAGATATTATTTTTTAAAAGAAACAGCTGGTTGAAAAGCTGTGAGAGAACAGTCAGTTCTGAGAAAGGACTGCCTGTAAACTTTGATAGATGCAAGTTTTTCTATTAGTTTTCAGTTTTGATAAATATTTTACCTGCAAATTGTAATCTCATAACCACTCTTTTAAAAACAGCCAAATCTGGCTAGATGTCTAATGTCATAGTGACTTGGCTTATGCAGGACATAAGTACCCAAAATAACTTTAAAGACTACTTCTCATCTACTAGACAATTTCAGTTGGTTTAGTAGAGTTAAGGTTTTGATGCACTTAGTGATCCACCCTAGTTACTACTCTTCACTGTTAAATTCTTTAGATTATTCAGCAGAGATAAGACTATTGTACACAAAAGAAGTCAACATAGGACAGCTTTGAGCTTAGATACTTGGCTCCATGATAAACTGGATTTTCTACCAAGCTTTATTGTAAATGCTTATTAACTGTACTTATTTAGACCCAGGAACATACTAACATTTTACAACTCATGTTAGTATATCTTCAAATAGAGCACACACACATATATATATTATATATGTATATATATATGTATCTTGCTGCTTACACTACGTTTAAGGGGTACACCTAACTCCTTAATGGAGATCAGTACAGGCCAAAAACCTGTCCCTTACATTTTCTAATTGGAGTTTGTAACTGTAAATTATAATTGCTTTTGTGAAAAACAGATTTAACTTCCATTCTTGATGTTTTATATTTACAGATGTTACACTGGTAAAATTCAATAGTTAAAAGACTGAAAAAAACCCAATCCTGTGCTGTGTCAAAGAATCTGTTCCTGCAAAAAGCCTGTGCAGTGTTAGATCACAAGTCAATTCAGCAAGTAGTTGTCAGGAACTACCTGGTAGTAGTGAATGTGGTACACAGGGTATTCAAAATGTTAATGCTGGACTTGCCATTCTGTTTTGTATGAGATTAGTCTGACCTACATTGAGATCTATAATGAAGGTCCTGTGAGTATTTTTTTTTTTAATAGCCAGAACAGGACACTATAAACCTGTTTTGTAGATTGGGCCTACAGACGCACCTGTTAAGCTTGTTATCCTGTGAATTTTTTTTTTATTTTCAGAGTAGATTTTCTTATTGTCTTTCAATCAGATTGTCTCTTCTATATTGAAACATGTGTTTTCTAATTTAAGAATTAATATTTTCTTAGATACTGTGCAATAAAGTTATGGTAGAATATGTGGTTTTGCAAATGCTTTAACAGCTGCTGAACTTTACATTTGTCAAATTAATATATTGTACTGGTACAGAATAGTTTTAAATTATATATGTACAAAACCCTACTTATTTTGGTCTCTTTTTTTCATTAATGAGTACTTGTGGTACAAATGTATACAGTGAAGCAACTTCACAAGGGAGTAATTTCACAATGGATCTGTAAGAGTGCTCTCAGGACAAACAGAGCTGCGACCAGTCCAAGCACCATTCCCAGCTCCATGTTGAGATACAGTGTTGTTATTCCTGTCTCCTCAACCCTTCCTTGACTTAGCTGTTCCAAAGTTTTGATTTTTTTCACCTCACAGCATGCTTCTACTATTTGCTTATGAGATCCCTTTACTCACAAGACCCAATATATGTAGCAGCAAACTATAGTCCATGTTAAGCTTTTACTGTCACCATGATGTTACTGAGATGGTCACTTACTTTGCATGCCATAAATAAACCTTGCACCTGTCTGATACCTGATAGGTTATTAGAGAGCAGGAAGAGGTTTTTTGATTTCCCATCCACTCAAATTTTGGTCCTGTGTCACATCATGCAAAAGTGCACTGTTCAGAGGGTGGTCAAAAGAGACTCGTCTGTTTTCCTGAACACTTCTAGAGAAAGCAGTTGAGATTAGGTGATCGGGACTGATTCCTTCCCTACACAGTTTCATCCCTTCAACTCTTCAAACTCACTCAGTCCAATTTAAAAAACAAACAAACAAACAAAAAACCCCCCAAAACCTAACCCAGATCTACTACACCTGCCTTGGTCTGCTCTGCAATCATGCTGGTTTTCTACTGTCTCTGGTAAACAGCTGTTACAGATTTGTTTGCTGAAACAGCACTTGAAGTTCAATCATTCTATTTAAGTTCCTCTAGTACTAGAATTTCAGACCGAAGATGGTAACGCCCAGGGCTAGAACTTTAGGATACAAAGGTTAAGTTTCAGTACCAACATCCAAAGGCTGCGTTCTGAACAACTCTTTTCAAACAGTAGCTGCAGCTAATATTACTACTGTTGAGAGAATCATGTAAGAAGTTACAAGTAAAATAGTAATTAACACTTTTGGTTTTTATTACAGAAAGGGAGAGACCTTGGTTTAGGTCTGATAGGTGAGACAGACACGTGCAAAGTAAATGAAGAGCCTGTATTTTTGTACTTTCCCATTATTTATTTAGAATGTAGCTTTCGTTAGGGAATTTATATGTCAGTTAAGCGTTAATACTTAAGTGTTTCTCAAGCAGATGAAGAGCAGTTTGTGTGCTGGACAGTTGATAACAGTGTTTTTACATGCAGCCTGTTGTGGCACCAAACAGCACCAGCTCATATGGGGCAGCTCTTCTACAAAAGGCACAGGGACAAAATTATTACAAATTAATAAATTATTATGATAGTTCCAGAACAGCTAAGACTAATAGTTTGCTTTACATTCCACCAAAGCAGAGCCCTCTTCACCAACCTTCATGGAGAAATTTCCTTTGTTTCTGTCTGGTTATGTTGATTCTAGCTTGTGCTCAGAGCAGGACCCAACCAGGCCTAAATTGCTGCTTTTGAAAGCTGCAGCTACAGAATCAAACTACAGCTGACAATCTTGCTTCTAAACAGTGCTTATGCCACCACATGAGATGGGGCTAGAGTGCATAAGCCTCCAACGCCCATTGCTGATGTTACTGCCCTTGGAGCACATACGGAGACTGCAAAAGAAAACAACCCCCTGTGAGCTGCTTCCAAACACTAAGACGTTTATTATGAGATTGAATATGAAACTACAACCACTACATGGAAAACATCTGTACAAAAACTGTTATTAAAAAGACTCCCTGCCCAAAACATCTCAAGTGCCTAAAGTTCAACCTTACTGACTACAGGTCATAAAATGACATTCAGTGTCTTATCCATCAGATTTTTCATATACTCCCGGATCCAGTCAAAAGGAGCTTGAATGTAATAATTTCAGTTATAAAACTAATCAGTCCATATCATTAAAAACAAGTCACCAGATCAATCTGATACCCTTAATATTAGAAACACAAATATTCACATACTTAAATAAGGTATTGTGCAACAGCAATTTGGATTTAAGATTTCCTTTCTTCATGGCATGACCATGGTTTTGCTGAAAATCTCAATGACAGGTAACCAATTTCTCACGGTCTTTTTTCAGAGATTCATTCTTAGAAGAACATCATTTAACATCTTTTCTTCATTTTGAAAACTGGAGATGTCAGGAACTTTGTATCTGTAAATGGATCGCCTCTCCTGAGCTTCCTGCTTAGGACATAGGGAAAAAAAAAAAAAAAAGGCAAAAGCTGAGTTCTGTTCCCTACATCACTTAAAGCATTAACTTTTAGCTAGTACATTCCCTTCCACATGAATTAGGTTGTATTATTAACTCCAGATCTCTTTGAATAACCTCTTTTGTTAAGGACTTGTTTTCAAGATTTAAATAAGCCTCTCAAATCCTCCAGTGGATGGAATATCATGAACTTTATTTTAAACTGGAAAGTAAAGACACCTACCCTGCAATACTTGGTTCTTTATAGCTCACGATAACAGTACAGCTTCGCTTGCGTTTTGGAGACCGTGGTCCTTCCCCTTCTGGGACGGGTGCTGGATCCCCAGTGCTGGGGAGCAATGCAGTGGTATTGGTAACATCACAGAGATGCCCACGAGGTGGCTCAGAAGGCTGCTCTGTGAAGAGATTAGGCACACTTCAGATCATTCAGGCAAGTCAGCTTAAAAGAAAATGTCAGTGAACGTACAAGATGTGAACTAACTCTCAGCTGTAACTGTCATCTCTGTTTTTGCACTTTAAAATACCTAAGAGGATATAATATTCAGGATTTTAATTTGGAAAAATAGCTAACACTGAGCAGGGCCAGGCAAAGTGTCATTTGTTATTCCACTTCTCTCTCAGTTTATATCTTGCTTACTTTTTTCCCAGCTTTAATGTATCAATAAGATAGCTATAGCACAATATTTATTTGTTGGCCAATTTTCTTAAAAACATACTTTAATTCTAATATCTTCCAAGTGAAAATAAAAGGTAGACAGAAGACCAAATCTCACCATTGTTGTAACATTACTCTGATTTTTGTTATTGAATGAACCCTCTAAAATATAAAAGCCTTAACCCCTTAATGTTGTCTTTTAAGGAAACAGAGCCAATTCCAGAACACTTGCTGCACTTACTAATAGACTTGTCACTTGATTTGTTGTTTTCAGTCTCTTCTTCATGACAGAGTTTCTGCTCGCGCTGTGCCCAACATCTTTTAGACCTTGGCCTTGGACAGATTGGTGATGTAGCATCATCGTCTACTGAACTTCGCGTTTTCTTCGATTTACTCTTGTAAGGCTCATAGAGACTGTCGTCTAAATCATCTTCAGTATCGCTCAACTCAATGGAATCAGTTTTATCTGAGCCTTGTGTGTCATCCACAGCAGTATCTCTGTCATTCACCTTGTTTTGTCGAAAAGGTGTAACATGGACGCTCTCTTCCAAATGGAAGTCATAAGCATCACTGATGCCGCCCAAGAAATTCAGCTTTTTTTTGGAAGCCTCTTTATCCTTTTTTCCTGGTCCTTTTTTGGAAGTATTTTTAGGCTGTTTCAGTACTCCCTTCTGGCGCTTCTTTTTCCTTCCTTGAGAGTTTTCTCTGCTTTTACACTCAGGTTGTTTAAAAACAAAATTATGTTTTAAGTTGAACTGTGCAGTTTCAGACTTTCTCGGTCTCAACACCTGCTCTGAATCTACCTTGCCTTCATTCAAGTGAGAAATAGCTGCATTTACATTTTCTGTAGCACACTCCTCTAGAC